CATATCATTTTGAGAGATGCCACAGTGGAGTGCTTTAGAAATTTCGACCACCTGGGGTTTTATAACGTGCACCCAAATGTGAACACACGGGTCTACAGCATTTTCGCCTTCATCGAACATTCAGCCGTCACAGTCGGAATTCCATTTCGCTATTTGCAGGCGTGTGAAAACGCAGGCGTGTTATTTTGGCACAACCGACATACGACCCTGCCTTGGGGGAAACAATGAGGGAGATTGAAAGAATAGTAATGAAATAGAACGTAAGCACACACGCACACACACAACGTCAGCGCACAAAATAGCCCTTTTCTGTGATATACTGCATCATTAACAGTCTACACCAGCTCGTCACAAGTCTGCTGTCCTTAGAAATTTGAGCAATGCCTTGGTTGCTTTAATTCTCTATAACTTATCAAGATGACATTGGTGAAAACGTTCTGGTGTAATTTTTCTGTTGTCAAGACAAACAAAAGGAAATGAGAAGGATAGTCCGTGGACCGCATAGCAAGGACAGTCGCAGACGATATGATGCAAAGTTTCTTTGGGTACGGCAGTCATCGCTAAGAGCGCTGCCGGCCAGGCCTACCAGAAAAAAAAGTATGGCTTCTAGTAGATCTCACTATGTGGTATTTGCTAGATGGTAAATGTCTGAAATAAATACAAAAGTTCGCGTCAAAATACCAACCACACATAAGAAGAAACACATAGACAGAATGGAATATTTAATTGAAATATGTCTTCGTAGAAGCCATCTTAGTCATAGGAGGCATAACAGAGTTTTCGCTATTTGGCGGAGTTGGATTGGTACTTGAAATGACCGCAACACGATCAGGTGGTGTTGCCGATAGTTTTGACCTTTTGATGTATGCACTGTTGAGTACGAAATATCATTTGTAATTCTTCGAAGTTTGGCAGCAGCTATAAACGTTTAAAGGGGCCTCTTCCTGGCCTTTTCCCTGTCGCTTTGCAAGGCTGACGGGACAGCATGTTTATTGCGAATCATGCCACAGTGACTTGGCAATCAATGAAGTGTCACTTGCTGCTCCTTCTCAAATGACGTGTAAATGAGGGCTCTTATCATCTCAAATTACAGTTGTTCGTATCGTCGTTGGTGCGGGGCTGGCGACAAAGTTTGTAGGACTGTTTTCGAATCACTAAAAAGTAACCGTCCTGCGGTTCACGATTGAAATCACAACGCGCAGTGTGAGGAAGCTCCGCAGTGCGTGGCGGATGATGTTCTCGGGTCGGCGATCTTAAAGCTAACTGCATACGTCTCGTGGGTACAACCACTGCTCCCCGCGAACTTCCGATGGTCGTTAAACCGTCTGTTTAAGTATGCACGTGTCGAAACAAACAGTATCGTTGAAATCCTTTACGTAGTTCGACAATCATTATTCCCGAATACAAAAAATGCGAAAAGTGCCACCATAAGCAAAGCAGGATCCCTAGGTATTTCTTAACAGAGTACTAGGCTATAAAAGCTGTTTCATACCTTATAGACTTAATGTGCTTAACATAAGGACAGAGAAACGATAAGCCACATCAACTTTCTTTCCGTGCAATGATTTTTTAGACAGTTATAGTTATCATTAGTATAATAGCGGAGGTAAAGCGAATGGCATTACCACGCAGCAAATGTTCGTTGCGGACAGCGTTCCATAGTTTAGTACGATAGCGTTTACGTGGTTTACGTTCCCCAGCTGGAATAGTGGTGCCACCTATAAGAGGGTTGATAAATTAAAGAACAGTGAAAATGAAACGAAAACGAGAATGTTTGCCTTTGTCAGCACGCGAAACATTGTTACAAGTTTATTTTAGCAATATTAAGAGTAAATAAGTATGATCCACGAACAAAACATGAAAACATTTGTTTCCAATTTGTTTCCGATCTTCTAGTTGGACCACAGTCGTTGGGAATGCGAAGATATCTCTAAAATTGCACTAGTTTATCAATAATACTCGATCATCGAAGCTAACTGAAGGCAAGCGAAGCCATTTTAAACAGTCGGTTGCTGCGATGGAAGTGAATCTTTGAACAACTAGACTAAAATCACTTGAAGTGGGTGGCCAAAAACGCAGCCATGCATACGTACGCTACGCTAACACGGTAACGTTAAATCTGAAAAATAGTGCGTGTATGGCAAGCGATACGAGTAACGTACGTATCTGCGCATGTGGACTTCGATTCCACTATCACGGGAAGGCCGCGATCCCGCTAAGTCCGGTATACTATAACTGTCTAACGATGAGATACCGTCGACGTATGTGCGACAAGAATACTGAGGTCGGTAGACTTTCGGGGCCCTCCGACATACCGTGGCCCATCGTTGTCTCAAACGCCGCCTAAAATTTAGTCGAGCAAAACAGAAAAATCCACGGATCTTTACCACGTGAAGTTTGATCAGTGGGTGAACCACTAGAGAGTTGAAGCATCCACTCGCTTGCGCATGTGATTGAGTGAGAACGCCTATGTACAGTATATACAATCTCTGGTTCCCATAACTCGTATTTGTGTTGAGTTATGCATTCTGTCATTCTTTCATTAGTACTGCTTCGTGGTGCGTGAAATGCGGAGGCAATAGTCGTTTTTTTTGCAGATGTAACATGAAATTCACAAAGAAGAGGTATATGCTCGTTGTATTTATCTCTAGGTATTCGTAGAGAGGTCAGTATTTTAAGTACTTCAGCCACACGTGAATTTTTCGTTTCTTGACAAGGCGTGAGTTTACGGGGTCTTCCTTATCAGGTTTCGCCTAATGTGCACGTAGATAGTTGCGTCGTCAGGCATGTTTTAGCAAGGAACTGCACCATTCTGTTAACGTCTATTGCATATGTGAGAAAAAACTCCTTCATTATTGAGAAATTAACCAATTAACCAGAGAAAGATTGAGAATTTAATCTTTAACCAGAGAAAAAGAAGATGTGGCTTGGACGGACGGATGGACGGACGGATGGATGGATGGATGGATGAATGGGTGGATGGATGGGTGAATTGATAGATGAAAGAACTGTAATAATGTTCAATAGGTCGTGCTAGTGTCCGAGACCGAAGCAGGCTACTCCTACGGTGGGAACGAAAGACCTAGCCTTTCAAACGGTTCGCAGGCCCGTTGAACTGCACATAATTGTCCCTCTAATTAGACTGCATGAAGCTGCGTCCCATCGTTCTTCATTTCTTATCATTTGAGTTCTTTAAGAATGGTTCAAATCCACTCTGTGGGATTTGCTAAGAAAGGGCAGCATGATTTTTCTATGTGCACTACAACAATGCTTATAAATGAATTTATATTCAAAGAAAATTACCCTAAGTAAAACCATAGATTGAGAAAGGAAAAAAAAAACAAGAAGTGAAATTTCGCAAATTTTATATGACCACACATCTGCGCTTTCTTCATCCAATCACTCAGAATATATGCGTGCAAGCGCTTATGAATGTTTCACAACAGTATTATTTTCAGTGGACATTTAGAGTGGGATACGTTTGGTTGCCTGAATAAAATCGCTGACCACGTGGATTGCATCTCTGTGAAAATTTAGCGAAACAGAGACACAAAAGTTTAGCACAGTTTCCACCATGAACCTAGTACCTGTCTTGAAGAAGGGAATAAGTATTCTTGTTTCCTTTTCGTCACTAATACTGCTTGCCTAGAAAAAGGCTTCTATAGAGGCCTGTTTGTGAGTAACGAGTATCGGCGATATGATAAAGAATAATGTTTAATGGTTTCATTTCTTCACATTGTGCACTGAGGGGTGATATGTGACCAGAACTGTGAAAACATAGATTTAGAGAAGAGACATGGCAGCAAAATATAAAAATCATAACTTCGAGCTGTCTAGTCAGACCCCACTCAGGTCGCCATGGAAGCTAGAAGTGGTTATATTTTGTTCACGCTGTTATTGTTTATGTTATGCATGCGAATTTCTGATTTCTGATCACGGGTATTTACCCTACTTTCAGAATCACGGATATTATTCGGCCATCAAGCGCCGTTTGTTCAAAGGAATCAGCGAACTTATTAAACCTTACTCCGCAGTGATCTGGGTATCAGGGTAACTTTAGGTGTTGCGATTGTGGTGGTACTAATGCTCGCAAAGTCCTAAGAGTTCGAAAGTGTTGAGAAATGGTCTGGGACGCACTTATTATTTATCATCATCAGTCAAAGCACAAGTTTACATATTATCCTACAGATGTTTAGTGGGTACCTCCCATATCAGCAGAATGGTGAGTGACGTATTGGCAAAGTGGGTGCTCTGCTACTTCACCAAAGTTACAGCGGACGTCTAGTCTATGGCTGCATTGCGTGTGCTGGGCCATGATGAACACCCAGACAGACAGCGGGCAGACCTAGATTTTAAGGTACTTCCCCCCCAAAAGGAACTTATCTAAAAAGACGGCGCAATTAAGTTCCAGCAGTGTATAATGTCTATCATATAGGAGCGGAAAGTACACGCGGCTCTAGCAGACTGCATGATATGCAAACTATCTGAGGGCGTCTGGCTGAACAATAGGACTTTTGTGGCATTATCAATTTATTCTACTTTTTGGATTCAAATTTCGAGATTTGTAATGGCACTGTAAAGAAAGAACAACAATCTTTTTGCGAGGCAAAACTGATTCGAACAAATACATTATTGACTTCTACTTGAGTGTACATTTGAATCCATATATCTTTAGAATACCATTTGCACTCTAGAAATGACCTCAAAATAATAAGCATTTGTTCTCAACAAAGTACAGCATGACGAAAAAATGCACTTGACATCGCCTATGTCTTAGTCACTTGTAGAAGCCGATAGTACTTCACTATGAAAGTGCTCGCAAGAAATCTGTATACGTGCAAGAGCCGAAGCAGTTGACAGTTATTAGCTTCTATTTCTTCTTTATTGACTGCAATGTATGGAAAAAACACCTTACGACAAAAAAAAAAACACTCTTTTCAATAGTTTTTTCTCGCAAGTTAAAAAAGTGTACATTGTTGTGTTTTCCTTTTATTTTGCAGATAATCGTCATGATCATCTCCATCTGCCTCTTCTGCACAATTCGTCAGGATTCTAAGTAATTAGTTGACGCGGCAGACATATTTTCACGGGAATATTTTTCTGGTTTGTTCATTCTTATTCATGCCATAGGACAGTAATCCGATCGGAGCACCGAATATTCTAACAATACGGCAGGTTCGGTTGTGATGCAAGAGAAGGAACAAAGAAGATACTGTAATATACTGCGATCTACAAAGCATCTTTTTATTATGTTCCAGTAGAATTCTTTTCCGAGCCACCAACATCATATATATAGATTCATTGCGAAGAAATTATGCACGCACACTGACCTTGAAAGACTAAAAATACACCTGACTGTTGTACATGTGCTCTTGGAAGTATTTTTCCACTTTCTCAGAACAATCCACACTTTATAGCATATACAAGCATTATTATCCGCTTGCAAAATAAGCAGTTTGCATTTCACATGCACGTGTTCATTTGTAGAGCTTTATAAATACACAAACATTTCCCATTATTGTAAACATTTGATTTCATTCACAAATTCATACAATGTCATGTGTACATTGAATAAATCTGTTTTTTAACTCTTGAGTTATTTTACTAACAAATATGAGCTAGTCAAAGCGGGTAGCCCGCATAAAGTGATGTCTGAGTGAACAAAGCGTGATAACATTCTAGCACGCTTTCTTGTTTTGCCATTTCATGCGCGCAGTGGCTGTGCACGTCTGGAAGAGGGCTGAGCGAGACCTGATAAATGCCATGATAAGGGGGTTCAAAAGCACGCTCGCACTACGAAATTTCACACGCACTGACCGACTCCTGGAGTTTGATATTCACATTACCCAGGAAGAAATTGCAGAAGCGCAAAAAAAAAAAGAGCGCAGATTAGTAAGCTCCCTGGCAACGGAACAGGTATACGACTCCTTGTAAAGATGGACGTCCTCCCCTCGCCAAAGAATAAACCATATACCAAGGCCTTCCGAAATAGCGAAAAGGCAAGATCATCATATTGTTACGAGTAACTTATTTATTAAATTATATACGATGGACCGTGCTTTGCGAACAAGATGGCGACAGTTCATCGACAACCAGCAAGCGACGTCGTCTTTCTCTTTCATGCAGCAAGGCTGTGCCGGCTGTTGTGTATTAATATCTCCCGCCCCGTGCATAATGCGTCCTCAGTGCGATGCGGAAAAAAGGAAAGACAGCGTGGTGGTGCTTCTATGTCGAGTGAAAGAACTTCCTGGTAGAAGAGGCTTTGTAGACCCGGCCCGTTAGGGTTGCAGCAACGGTTTTGCAGCAGTGTTGATCAACCACAGGAGTTAAACCATGCTTAATAGCCGATTTGGTTCTATGTTCATCGTCTTGCCGAGCAATCGGACATTGCCTTCGACCTTCGGGAGGACAAACATGAACATCTATTCAGATGTTAATGTTCATCTATTCATGTTCATATTCACGCTATCCATGCCTATAGCGTTGGCGCCTGCAGTAAGGAAGCAATTCGCATGCTGGAGGGCAAAAGCATCACCCCCCGCACTGACACGTGAGTCTCCGTTCACATGGGTACATAAGTGGAGGCTCCACAAACCTTATCGAGCTGAAACACTCCAAGATGCGACGTCTCACTTTTCGCCACCATGGAGAACTGACCCGCTGAACTGGAGAACAGAGATCAGCCATTCACACATAACGATATTAAGCAGTACTTTATCTCGGCAAAGGAACTTTCCTCTCCCTAACAAAAAGTTACGTCGAGGACAGACATTCGGTCTCAGGCTACTGCAGACGGGTTTGTATCCCTGTATGGCTTTTATGTATAAAATTTATCTCAACATTTGTCTCAATAGCTCCTGCATACAATGGAATGAATTCGCTGGCCTAGATCACGTGCTCTGGCGTTGCCCCTCATTACGGGGCATGGATCAATCTAAAGAAAAGAGGTAGGTATCCCCTACCACGAGCCCCGATGATCGAGGAATAATTATGGCTGTCCAGAGGGCCCACAATGCAACGGCCGGGCTTGGCCTGACTGTCCCAATGTGGGAGCTGTCGGCTGTGCGTTCAGTGCAGCTCAGGACTCACGATCAAGTTTCGCATCCATCCCACCAGCTGCATACCCAACTAAAATAAACGGAGCGAGAAGCATTTATTCGCTTGTGTTTTCTCGGTGTTTATCTCGTATTTGTACTTGTCATTCTTAGTTTTTTCTCGCGCTTATCAACTTTAGTATGTTCGTTTCACGTAATTACGGGCACTTTGTAGTGCGTAACTACTCTCGTTTGGCCTCTTGAGGCCAAAAGAGAGTTGTTACGCACTATATTTGGTTTTAGATGGCCACCTTTCGCCTGTTCTATGACTGGTCGCTGCTATAAGCGCGATCCTCCAAACTCTCGGCTCTAGCGTTTCACCACAGAATGATGAATAACAGCTTGGTGGGTAGTTTCGTTCATCGCAAAGATATGATGCATTATGCCGTGGTGGATGTCTTGCCAATATTATTGCAGTAGTCCACCCCACAAGAGTTGGCAACAGGCCGGCGCTACAGCATTTGCTATGACCGTGCTGCCTGTTTCGAGCAGCCCTTGTGTTTTTTAAACAGCGAAGGTGTTTAGCAAATTGTTTCTTAGGAGTTCATCGCAGAAAACCATCACCATCCTAACGCATTTGTGCCACTGTGTGGGCTACCTCGAGATTCAAACCGGTATGTGCTGCGGAAAATGGGTAAATTGATACACTCACCATTTATTCCCTGAGTGTCAGGGTGTCAGTGTGAAACTCTGTATCAGCGACTCAAAATGTCCTCCACAAAGCGGCCAAGTATGGGAAGAGCTTTATTTTAACTTGAACTGGTACATTGCGAAAATGAAGGTGTAATATGGATTCAAACAATAATTTTGTCAAGTTTGTGACCGCAGTGTGCCAATGCATTGGCTTCGTTCGCTGCCGCAGTATATTTAGCATTTAATACTGTGATTGCGTTAAAGAGCTGATTTTGCAGAAATTCCGGTGTTCGCCTCGTCAGTAGCGAGCGAAAAATTACCATCTTGTGCGTAACCCGGAAATGAACAAAAATGAAAATAAATAAAAAAAATAGAAAGCTCTCGGTCTGAATGACCATCGAATCTGGGTTATTTGCGTAAAAAGCTGCTGCTCTACCCCATAGCCACACGTCTGCTTCGAAATGCAGTGAAAAAAACTTGCATGCATTACAAACCGACGCATCCTATGTACATGCTTCACAAAGCAGCATGTACTGTCGCAGTAAGAATGCGTGGACAAACGAACATTGCAATTGGGCGTCAGAATATGTCAATGTCGATTTTTTATGGCTTAAAACGGGCCATCCAATACAAAAGTCATAAACGTAACTACGCCTTACACTTAAGGCCACAAAGGGGGTTGAAGAAGGTGCGAAAAGATTTCATGCGCACAATGGCCTGTGGTTTAAGGCGTGCCACCCATTACACAAAATGCAGTCATATGCGAAAGCTTCATGGACACAAGCCACTTAGAAATATGTACGTACTAGGAACAGGATGCTGCTTTGGCGTTAAATTTTTAAGGGTGAAGCTTAAAGGTCCCCAATTTTATAAGAACATACAACGCATTCAATGTGGATAAATTACTCAGTAAAAGTTGCATTTTTTTCGAAAATAAAAGCGTTAAGCATACAGCCATAGTTGTTGTTTGTTCATCTTAAGGATAATGAAACTTGAAAAAAAAATGGCCCCATATCTGCATGTTAATCGGCAAATGTCGTCGAAACACGGTAGTCTTGCGTGTGGAGAGAATGAACAAAACATTTATTTGATGTTCTGCGCAACAAAAATCGGTGAATGGTATACTGGAGGCACTGCGTTAGTGTGACTCGAGCATGCAGCGGAAGGAAACGAGTGCAACAAGTCACGTCACACGTGAGACATGAGCGCTATGTGGCAGTTTTCTTGGAAAAGAAAACACGCGGTTCTGTGACGGGCGTGCGTGCCCGCCTCAGAAGTGATAAGTAGAGACCGGATTATAGGCACATGCCTATTTTGTTCCTTGCGTTCATATTGTGCCATTTTAACATATGAGCATGAACTAGAGGTTAAGAAGGGCTTTTATGGTGTTTTATAGTGTCTATAAATGTCCATTTAGGGTGTTCGTGCCTAAATGCCTCTGAGTGCCTATAAATGCCTATTTTCCAAATGAGCGGTTTATGAGTGTTATTGAAGCCGAAATTTTGTTTTCGAGCATGGTGTGAGTCCGTTATTTATGTACAAAAGGCAGTGTTGATATTTACAAACATTATAAGGTTCAACGAAGACAAAGCTGACATGCTGCGAGCGATTGGAGGAGGAGCATGAGGAGTGCAAAAGACGCTGTTTCTGCAGCCCTAAGTGGAAGAATGTCTTAGCGTCTGCAGTGGAAGGAGGAGAGAGAATTAAAGATGAAGTAAGAAAATAAATCTGTTGCCGAGGACGTGGCGACCACCTTCTACAAATAACTGTCCAGTGCCCTGAAGGAACTGAAGAAACACCCTGAAAACTTGGGTGTTGCGGTGGGAAAAGAAGAGCAGGTTTTTTTTTTGGGGCTGCCGCGGGTAGCTGTAAAACGCACAAAAAAACCACGGAGGACCACTCATGGAATACTCTTGTTGATTCAGTGGTGGCGAAGGTCGCCAAATCATTATACTTTATACAGTTAAGCCTGAGACAGGCACCGCATGTTTTCAATAAACGGTGTATTTAGCAGTCATTCACCGTATGCTTGAATATGCTTGTTCTTTATGAGATCGCTTGTCATATGACTACAAGTGACAAACTTTGAACGCTATAGAATAGCGCTTCAAAGTTTGTCCTAAGCCATTACTCAAAAATGAAAGCTGTAATATTATAAAAAATTAACTAGGATAGGAATTACCATAACCGCGTCGAATTGAACTGCGGCTAAAGCTCCTATGTCAAGCATTTCATGCTAAACTCGCATTAGAAAATGAATGTACCCAAGCATTCCTCTTCGCGCAATGGTAATGAAGAGTTTAGATTGTTTTATCAGATATAACTTTTCTAATATTTCGTTATTGTTAGTTCCATAAAGTGTGTTTTGCCAATGAAGGCGCGTTTTCTTTGAAATTATAACCCTACAGCTGCAGCACTTTAGGGTAAAAAAATGTGATGTACACGCGCCTTTTGTATGTTTGTAATTTAATTTTTACGCGTCTTTTTATGTGACATACTAAGTTGCAGTTAGACCCCAGAAGCTCTTGCGTGTCCAAGAGGAAAGCGTTTACCATGGTGATTTTTCAAATTGGTTCGCTACAAGCCACCACAGCACGATGTGAAGACTTGAATCCCTTGCCTCTCGTCCTGTGTAGTCACCGTGAGCTTTAATGCTTCCCTGTTTTCTTTGGTATCGGGGCTGGAGAATCACATGACATGTACGCACCAAGAACAACATGCGTAAGCAAAGTCACGCGCGCATGACGTGCCCCAGGTTACTCGTGCGAATACGCCTTCGATGTTGTGTCGATTCGGTGCTCGCTGTTGTGTGTTATCGGTTTCTGTGGGATGAATCAGTTAGTGCGTGTTCTTTAGGAGAGGCTGGCA